GTACTTTTCAATTTATTTCTATAAAGAAAGACGGTAATGGTTCCAACAGGCTGAGTTTATGCTACTTATGGCTGGAAACCTGATCATTGTGCTTGAATTTTAGGGATCTGTTTCCTCAGGCAGTTTCATTTTATTCAATATTTATTTGAGAGAGAGAATGAGATAGAGAGAGAAAGCACGAGAGGGAGGAGGGTCCGAGGGAGAAGCAGACTCACCGCTGAGCGGGGAGCCCGATGCGGGACTCGATCCCGGGACTCCAGGATCAATGACCCGAGCCGAAGGCAGTCGCTTAACCAACTGAGCCACCCAGGCGCCCCGAAGTGTTTTAAGTTCTAAGATAACAGAGTTTTCAAATACTGCAATTAGTCCCGACGATGTTTTTTTTCCATTTAGTTTTAACAAATTGTGCCTGTTAATTCGGGGATATTAAAATGCAACATAAATTTAAACCAGATACCTCCATCCTCATCCCTCCCCCCAAATAAAGGTAACACTGACATTCAAGGAATAAATAAAAAGTCTACTCAGCAACTATAGAATATCTAGCTTCCTAAATATAATCTTCTGTGTGGGAAGCTGGGAGAGGAAAATTAAATTCTTACGTTTTTTTAAGTGGACGGGACCAGTAGTATTTGAAAAAGCCAAGTAGAAAACGGAAGTACTTAAGTTGGCTTTGCCCCTTGCAGAGAGATGCTTGGCTGGGTCCTTTCCCACGGGGCACTTTCCAGAGGACGGGAGTCCATTTCAGGAGGAGCTTGCTATAAACCCTGGGCAGAGAGCAGAGATGGGATGGTGTGGCTCAAGCCGGCATTCTTGGAACAGGAGCCTGCGGTTTCTCTCTTACTTCATCTTGTTAAGTCTGTCCTGTTGATTGGGGTGGATACCGGGGGTAGTAGCGACTCCTTCACACTGTGTGTAATTTAAAGCCCTTACAAGCTCCATCCTCAGGCAGCCGCGGGATGGGGCGGAGAGGGAGGAAAGGGGGTGAGGAGGAAGTGCCCCCTCCTGGGCTCTGACCTCATCCAACCCCAATCTGGGTCTTGGAAAAATGTGTTTCAAAGTTGGCTTGAGTTGCTGTTAGGAGAATATCTTGATTTAACCTTCTTAGAACTGGCTGTATTGTGAGTAGGCTAGATACCAAGGCATTAAGTCTGAAGAGTTGTTTCTGCGATCCCACAGGACTCACGCTCTAGTGCATGAAGAATACCTTTACCTTTTCACTTTCAAATCAAATATCTTTGGACTCCTGTCTTCGGAATGCAATAGTTCATCTTTTAGGCAAGCGTGTGGGAGAAGTGTATCCAGTGTGGGAAGATGTAGCGTAATTATGGAGAAAATAAGGAAATTTCTTTTTCTTCTGATGTGAAAAGAAATTCACTGTCAACACGAAGAGTTTATTTATTGCTCGCCTGTTCCCAGCATGGAACGATGACTACGAAAGCCTCTCAGATGAGAATAGTCAAAACGAAGCAATGAGCATTAAAGCAAAAATATGTGCTAATTTTTATTCCAAGCATCTAATAGATTTTTTTCATTTGGTCACCACCAGTATTGTCTTACATTATTTTTTTACTTTTCAATGTGAACATGTGTTAAGCCTATGCATGACTGATTAATTCATGAATGCCCATGTTTCAAATGTCACATGATTTAAACTTATCGATAGCTCCATTTTTGCCCTGGAAACCTGATCATTGTGCTTGAATTTTAGGGATCTGTTTCCTCAGGCAGTTTCATTTTATTCAATGAATGCTAGTGGTCATATATTATCTCTTATTTTGCGGGGGTCATAAGAACGTAAGAGAGAGTCATTCTCAGTGAAGACCTTAGGATGCTACACACACACAAACACACAAACACATTATATCATAAAGCAATAACAGTGTTCTATATTGTACAGAACAACATCTCATTACCTATAGTTCTACTTTTTTGGGGGGTATAAACCTAAATCTCTTAATCTTAATACTCTTCTTCACCAGAATTCCTGTTGGGATGCGAACCATATGTATTTAAAAATCCATATAGGATATGGATTTTGGGCTGGGATAAACATCAAATACCTTCTAACGACAGCACATCCTGCTGTCAGGGGGCGCTTTGTTTTGTCTAATGACCTTTAGGGTTTGTGGTGAATGGCTCTAGATATAAAGGGGTGAGAAATTTTATGTTTCCTGGAGAAAATTTGGGAAGGAGAGAGCATTTAGGTGCATATGAAGTGAGCCTCAGATAGTGAATCCTTGCAGCAATTCTTAGAAGAAGAGTGGGAGCAGCAAGAAACTCTAATGACCATTTTCTTTTTTTGCATTAGCTTTTTAAAAAATTGTGGTGAAAACACATAACATAAATTTTACCATCTTGGTGATTTTTAAGTGTACAGTTGAGTAATATTAAGTCTATTCACATTATTGTGCAACTAAACTCCAGAACTTTTTCATCTTGCAAAACTGAAACTCTATACCCATTAAACAGCTCCTCACTTCCCCCCTCTTCCCCCCCAAGCCCCTGGCAACTAATGAGATGACTTTACAATGTTGTGGTGGGTTATGCAACATAATTTCCCTCCTTGCTTAAGAAAATCTACTCTATTCTCTTTAATGCTTTCATACAAATTGGGAGAACTAGAAGTGGTGCCTAGTTATATGCCAGGTTGGGTGAAGACAGAGCTTGTGGGAGCTGGAGACTTGAAGTGACACCTGGCGTCTTTTTATTCCCTGAGACGCTGAACACTAAGTATTTCTGACTTTTCCTTTTTTAATTGGCACTACTTTTTAATTGTGGAAAATCCTGAAAATAGTGTTATGTGTAAGTAGCATGATCATCCTGCTAAGAGCATGTGAGGATACTGAATATATCCTGAAATACTACATATACTTATATACCCTTAGCAGCATGATCACACTACCTATACATAATATCTTCAAATTTCCCACAATTAAGAAGTGCCAAAAAAAAAACCAGATGAAAAACATCCCACTTAATAAAAAGGATTTCAAGGTAGCAAGCTAAGGGGGGAAAAGACCCCCCTCTTCTTATGAAAATTATATACGTAAATGTATATTCTCTTCTTAAGAAATTATGTAAATTTAGGAAAATTATATGTGTAACTTTATTACATATTGTTATATGTACACTTATACACACACACATACATATATATGTAACTTTCATTTTTCCCTTTTGAATCTAGCAGCAGAGGGGATTTCTTCCTGTACATGGCTATGTGCATTTATTTCCTCTTAAGGACATAAACCCTTTGCATGGACTCCTAGAATCCTTTGGCTGATTGTGCGACTCAGGAACCTACAAGGGGTGGCAGGTTATGGAACGAGCTGAATGTAGTTTATGTGATGTTTGTAAGGACAGGAAATAAGGTGCGTAGAGTCTTAGGGCCTTCCAGTGAGGACATGGGGCACAGATGATTTAATAGCAACTTGGCTAGGGTGCCCAGAGTAAATTGTTTTCATTCTCCTTACTGCTATACCTGGTAATTTGCCAGGGTAACAGGTGAAAATTGATGAGGGGGTGGTGATTTCTAGGACACAGACCAGAAGAGCCAGGAGCTCTGAATTCCTTTGGCAAGAGCTTTGTCTCATGGGGTGCATTATACCGTAATACTACTGGGCAGTACTTTTCAATTTATTTCTATAAAGAAAGACGGTAATGGTTCCAACAGGCTGAGTTTATGCTACAAATGTGTTCATGGGGCAGTAGGTAAAGACGCTTCATAATGCAATTATTATTAGATTTTCCATGAATCTGGACATGAGATGTTCCACATGAAGGTAAATTTCAGGCAAATCTATTTCGAATTTTATTTCCTTTAGAAAACCTCTAATCAGAGGCCTCATGATAAATGGGAGGGGTCATCTTATCTGTCAGTCAGGCTTTATAGGATTTTATAGAACTTTATAGAATTTCTACTATATCCTGGGTGGGGTTGCTGAATACAACACCCAAAGAAATCTTTGTCCTTGAAAAATATAAAGAGAGGAGCAAGCAGGAAGAAATGCATCACTTCCTAATTTCCGCATATAAAATTAGTGAAAATATGACCTAGTCAGACACATACGTACAGATACAGACTATAGCGAGAAAAGGATTAGACCAAAGAGCCCACTTAACAATGAAATTATATTTCTCAGATAGTATCTACCATTTTCTATAAATAATTGACTAGGGTGATTAAAAAACTCTTTAAAAGACTATTAGCTAGTATTTCTTAAGGTAATGTTTTTAATAATGTGTTGCTAACTAGGAATTAGAATTATAAACTCAAGGAAAGCTAGTTTTTCAAAAAATAATTTCTAGAAAGGAGTAGGATTTTCAACATGTTATGGGTCTAAAAGCTTGCGCTGCTGCCTTTGTTTTCCCTGTGGGTGGGAGAGAAACAAAGACATGAATCCAGGCTCTTTGGCCTTACATGTGACGAGCATTGTCTCACTTGGGGTTTGGTCTTTCATGGGGTTTGTTAATCCTTGCAAGCTTTATTTCCAGCCCAGCTTCATTTCTTCAGTTTGTTTGCATCTCTCAGAAAAGAGCCTTTCTTGTAGGGCTACTCCATTCTCCAAGATGAGATTATGCCTCTGGGCTAAAGGCGCAGAAAGCAAGGGGTAACTAAAGCAGACCACTGAAATATTTCCCCACCACTGCCCTTCTCTAAAGCAGAGTTTAAGGTTTCTGGGGAGAAGTGGAGAATTATTAGAAGACCTATTTTTACTCCAATGTATGGCCAATAATGAGCGTGTCATGGGCCCCCCGGTTCTGGCTTGGGCCTGAGAATGCCCATGAATGATACTGGAAGATGAATGTGGGGAAAGGTCAGCCTACCTCCCTCTTTTCAGTCAAGTAGCATCAGCCAAACTCTGTCCAGTGTTGACCGACGATGCTGTTCTCTTGCCAAAAATCTCCCTCTAAAGGACATCAGTAGAGTGAAATCGTTGATAATGTATTCCGATGCAAAGAAGTGGACTGATTTCTTCTTCTTCTTGTTTGTGAAGCCTCTGGCGCCTTGTCATGACTCCGTGGAATCCATGCAGGTGTTCAAACAACACTGCCAAATAGCAGAAGAATACAATGAGGTCAGAAAGGAAATCGCTCTGCTTGAGGAAAGGAAGTAAGTACTGTCCCTTTGAACCCTCTGGCCTCCGAGTACTGCCTACTGGTCACGGACCGGGGGAGGCAGGAAAGGAATGGGCTGAGCATGAGGGTGAGAGGGAGGGATGGGGGCAAATGACATTCTGTGGTTCAGAGGTTACTAGGCCTCTTCTGTGGATCTTATGTTTGATTATACAAAAGACCCAAATCGAGCTGCTGAAGACAAAATGCTTTACTTTATGGAGTACTGAGAACAGCAGGAGGACTTCCTACCAGAAACTTAATTTTTTAATAAGCATTTTTAGTTCAGGAAATTAAAAATGTCAGAATGCCAGAGTCACACTATGTTTCCTATGGATGTGCCCAAAGGCCCCAGAGAACTTTGGCTTGGAGTGAATTTTGATTAATGCTTAATGGTGGAGTTCCTGCATCAAGTCAAGTCAAGTCAAGAAGCCAATGGGACAGATCTTTGGAATAATGTAAATGTATTAGTGCACTAACTGCATTTTTTAGTCCAATAGCCCAAGGAGGTTTTTTTAATCTTGATAGCTTCCATTATCACTCCAGTTCTGCTGTAGGGAATTATAGAGTTCTATTAATTAAATTAATTAATTAAAGCATTCTAATTTTGCTCACACTTAGCTTTTTCTTGCAGAATTCTCCTCCTTTTTAATTGCACTTAGTTCTACCAGTGTCTACCCCAGTGATCCCCATATCTTTCATACTTTCAAAGCCTCAGACAGCTTTCTACCCTAGCATTGTTTAGTCCATACTTATGTATTTATTAGTGAGATCTTTTGATTAATATTTGCATCTCCTACTACATGGTAACTACTAAGTGCTTTTAATCCCTGAAGGCGGGGAGAGTCAGGTATCGCTCACCATCGTATTTCTGAAGCCGAGCACAGTACATGGGATGTAGAGGCTGAATCAGTTTTTGTTGAGTGCGTGACACATAATCAAAACATGTTTTGATTCTTTAACTTTCTGTTTTTTTTTCCCACTTCCTCTTCCTGAAGTGATACATGGTATGTATTAGTTTTCAAAATCAAAGCAAGTGAAATATGTTTTGAGTAATTTAGAAGATTCTTGGGACTCTTTGAAGACTGCCCTCCCTGCCCCCGGTCCCCCCAGGATGATCGTTGGACAGAATAACATGGTGGGGAGCGGTACGGGTTGTAGGGTCAGACTGCACTTACTGTAAGACCTCGGTTAACAAACCTTTTCTTACCTCCTTGCTGTGTTATGCTTCAAACATAAAATCATACCTGGACTTATGGCTAAAGGGGATGATAAGATATTTATGAGGAGATCAGAAAAACACATCTTCCCCTCATTTATCTGAGACTTTCTTTTTGGTCTGAAAGTTCTCATAAATTGGCTGGAATGCTCAGATTGCACATTTGCACACAATCTGAGTCCTAAAAACACCTTAAAGGAGCTGAAGAAGCTTATTAATAGTACCAATGGGGAAGTTAGAGGAGGACTTGTATAATCAGTAACCTATAAACGTATCTCCTCATGTGCGTGTGTGGGTGTGTGTGTGTGAACTGTGCTGTTGAGACAGATATAACAGGTAATTATGTATTTATTTGTAAACTCTTCAGATTGAAAGTATTGGAAGACTTCGTTTATTTCAATTAACCCATAGGTGGCCTTTTTTTTTTTTTTTTGGCAATGTGAAGCTCACCCACTAAATTGTATGTTTTGTAAGTTTATATTTTTGGGTGTCTCATTAAAAAATAGGATAACGATGTAATAGTGACTCATGTGGTCTTTTATTGAAAACATATTCCTGCTGTTTCTACATAACTTATCTTATTTTTTCCCTAAGCCTGTTCGAACTTTGGACTTTTCTTGAAACTATGTTATCTCCCTCCCCTCCCCCCACTTTCTTCTTAAATAACTAGCTAGATGCACGGCAAAGGCCAAATTCTTTTGTTATCTATTTTCCTTTCTTTTTTATAAAGTCTCTCAATTCCTTTTTCTCCATTCCTGCTTCTGCTCTTTGAGATCAAGACTTGCCGCTTCAAATCCTGGTCAATGTAATATTATAACTGGTTTCCCTGCCTGTGTTTTCACATTGTTGGAAAAGGACACCAAGCTCTTGGCCTGGATTGCAAGCTCTAGCTCACGATGGCCTCAGCACCCCTGTAGAATGTTCTGCCTCATCCTTCGTCTTCAGCTACATCAGTCTATTCACTCTTTCTGCCTCTCTGCCCTTGCTTACACACCAAGCTCTAGGTCTGGAGCACTGGCTCCTCCCTCTTTGCATGTCCAAACGCTACCCTCAGAGAGAGCCTAGCCAGTATCCCTGCCCAACCAGTCCACGGGGTTCATCTCTCTTCCTGGGTGAAAGAAAGTGCACTGGAATGATTCTTTTTTTTAAAGATTTAAGATTTATTTATTTGAGAGAGAGAGAGCACAGGCATGGGCAAGTGTTCAGGGGGAGAAGCAGAGGGAGAAGGAGAGGGTCTCTGGAAGACTCCCCACTGAGCACAGAGCCCGAGGTGGGGCTGGATCTCATGACCCTGAGATCATGACCTGAGCCAAAATCGAGTCAACAGCGTAACTGACTGAGCCACACAGGAGCCCCTGGAATGATTCTTCTGGCATATTCGTGGGCTGGTCTTATCAATAGTTACCACTTAACTTTATGTCCTAACTTTCTGACTGTGCAGAATTCCCGACAAACGTGGTCACCTTTTAACATCTCTTGGTGTCCCAGTCACCAAGCAGAGGGACAGGTACATAGGGTCAAACATGAGTGAGGGTGATTTCGAGTGACTGATTATAAGACATGGTAATACCCTCTGTGTATACAAACACTGTAACAGATGTGTCATTTGTAATTTGTTCGGTCCATATTTAAAATACCGTGTCGATATCAGCAATAAGGAATTGCTAAGATAAATTGTTAAAATAGGAAGTATGGTATATCTTATATTTATAAATAAATGAGACTGGTCCTCCAGGGGTTATTGGTGATCATTGTTTTGACTAACACTTTACCGAAGCAGAAATTCATTATGTAACACATATTTTCCTGGACATTCTTTGTGTTCAAGCAAGATAAATTAGGTCAAATGGATCTGACCCAAGTCATTAGCTCTCTGTGTTTTGATGAGTTGGATAAGAATTTCTTTCCCATCATTTCATAAAGTGTGGGTAATTATGTTGTCTCTGGTGATTGGCTAGCGTGAGCTAGACACAAAGAGAGATGCTAACTCGGGTATTTTAAAAAAGAGTTTTTCTTTAGTGGAACCATGCGGGCACAGGTGAAGCTGAACTTCTCTCTCATCTCCAGAGGGGGTCACCCTGGATCAAGTTTGGGAGACTGCAGAGGCGAGAGAAGAGTTGATTATTAACTATTATTTTAAATCATGTCTATTAGACAGATAAAGAGAGTCAAACATTTTCTAGGACTATAAACTCAGCATGCAGTGAAATTAATTTAAAGAATCACTTCTGGCTTATTTGATGTATGAAATGCTTGTTCTTACCTTTATTGGATGTTTTTTTCTTCTCAATTGAAAAAGATGACAATCTTATTGAAGACTTTAAAAAGTTACCAAGAATTCTGACATCCGTCCAGAATTCCTACTATTATTTCTGCCTCTTTTTAGGCCTTTTTAATGTGAACCGATATTTTTATAGAATTGCATATATAATAAAATGAAATGTGTACATGCTTTTCTCAATAAATATTGTAAACTTTTAAAATATAACATGGTTTTTTTGTGGATCTAATGGGAAAAAGTGAGAGGTAGACATTTTATGACTTGTGAAATTTATCACCAGTATTTTGACAGCAAGTTAAAGTACACGATTAAGCTACAATTAGATCTACAATCAGATTTACAATTAGTGAAGGTTGCTTTGCTCCAGATAGGGTATTTTATCTTGTTCAAAGGAGAAACCATTTGTCTTCTGTATATGTGAAACATTGTGCCAGATGCGATGGTCTTTAAAAGATTGGCTTAGAATGTCAGAAACAGAGATAAACTTTTAGAAACGTCAGGATGAAAAATGTTACATAATTAAAAAAAATTACTCTGGTTTTCGGTATGTTCACAGAGTTGTGCCGCCATCATCACAGTTTTAGAGCATTTTCATCACCCAGGAAATAAACCTTGTACTCCTCCCCCACCAACCACTGGCCCCCACTCATCTACCTTCTCTCTAGGGGTTTGCCTATTCTGAATATGTCATATAAGTGGAATCATACAGTATACGGTCTTTTGTGACTGGCTTCTTTCACTTGGCAAGATGTTTTCAAGGTTCATCCACCTTGTAGCATGTATCAAGGCTTCATTCCTTTTCATGGCTGAGTAATATTCCATTGTATGGAGAGTCTGTATTTTATTTATCCATCCATCAGTTGATGGACATTTGGGTTGCTTGCCCTTTGGGCTATTATAAACATTCGAGTACAAGTTTTTATATGGAGGTATGTTTTCAGTTCAATTGGATATGTACCTAAGAGTAGAGTGGCTGTGTCATGTGATAACTCAATGGGTAAATTTTGGAGGAACTGCCAGACTGTTTCTAAAGTGGCTGCACCATTTTATAGTCCCACCAGAAATGTATGAAGGTTCTGATTTCTCCATATTTTTGCCAACTCTTATTTTGTCTTTTTGGTTATAACCATGCTAACGGGGGCAAAATGATGTATCATTGTGGTTTTGATTGATGCTTCCCTGACAGCTGAACATTGTTGAGCATCTTTTCATGTGCTTTTTGGCATTTTTTTGTGTCTTCTTGGAGAAATGTCCATCATAGCCTTTGCCCATTTTTTCATTTGGGTTATTTCTCTTTTGATTACAGAATTGAAAAAAATGTTATATAATTTTTGTGGGTCCAGGCAAAACATTAGAAAAGGATTTTCATATGGGAATAACACAAAAATATCAGACCTATATCTTCAGATCTTTTTTTTTTTTTTAAAAAAAAGATTTATTTACTTATTTGAGAGAGAGACAGCACTTGAATGGAGAGGGGCTGGTGCAGAGGGAGAAG